TTTGCTATGTTTATTTTAAATATTTGCATTTATTACTTAAACTTTTTTCATTCTACCGCTCTGGGGGATCCGGGATCGAACCGAGTGAACAACTTTCCACAAATTTTTCATGAGAAGTACGATGCAGTCCCTCATCTAAGGATTGCCCCCATTGTAAGCCTGACCAAACCTATAGAGGGTATAAAATTGGACTGATGGACTAAGGCAACACAACACATAGTCGACCTGCCAAAAGAAAGGATGCCTCTTAGGATGAATTTCTATGAGAAATTAGTCCGTATTTAGGTATTAGACATGCGAATAAAACCCGGAAAGGTCGACACAGACAGCCGTTAATCAGGCGTGAATCTATGATCATTGTTCAATGAATTATCTATTGGTAAGCTATGGATGTAGGAAAAAAGACTCTCTTAATGCCCACAAGGCGCTAAGTATGGCAAGTATAAAAGTGATGAAAACACGTATTTGAACACAGATTTAAAGAGTTACTACGTAAAAAGTCATGAAAATTTAATCTTTCTACATTATTCCGAGACTGCTTAATAGAAAACGAAGTCAGGAAAACTAACTACCCATCATGTAGCTGATGTAACCTCAAGATATTATTCAATTGTTCTGTCTCTATGAGGATCAGTGATATTATCTAGATAGAGAAATTATCCTACGGAACCTGCCTACAGCGTAATATGCTAATCCACAGCTTCATCTTGATAAATGATATACATATATGTATATAACGCGAAACCTCATTTTGACAAACTGTATATTGACATTAAAAGATGTGAACATCTATATATGTATCCTGAGGGTAATGAATATAACTTGTGTTATATGTTAACTTTAAAAATTTTTCGAGGTGGTGGCCTGTGCAGAATACGTCGAGCTCTGTCTCTCACTGCTTGCCCAACTCATTGTGGGCCTGGCCAATTTTACAGTAAGCCTGGAAAAAAGTCCATTGAGGCGAAGAGTGTAAAAACCTAAAAATATAATTTTCATTTCAGTGAATTTTATATTTATTTTCTACAAAAATAAGTTTTTGAATTAATGAAGTTATTATGTGACGTCACAGAGTTTTCTATGATGTCATCATTTGTACCGGTCGAGTGTGGATCAGTATTGTTATATATGATACTATTCAATGAATACGTCTGTGCCTTGCTGATAAGTTCTTAACGGTCGATGCTTCCTAATAGTTTCTGTCGGGTGTTTTGCTTCTTTTATATAAATATTTTTTGTAAAATTATATTGTATAAAATTGCTTTTGATGTGGTAAACAATTTTAATTTAATTGGGCTGAAATTTGAAAAAATTACAGACAAATTCCCACTGTCATCCGTCCATTGTCTGTCTGTCCTTCCTTAATCTCGAGAACGGAGTTAGATACATGAAAATCGAGAAAAGATATGGAAGGCGTAGGGGTTGTATGCCCATTAACTATATACAAACTTCCGATTTTCACCGGAAGTAATATTATCTTAATTCAAAAATTTTCCCCTGAAAAGAGTTAGATACTGGCACTCTCTGTTGCTAGCAGGAAAAGTATGATGTACAGGGGCAATACGCAACTAATTTGAGATGGAGAGCATATATTTAAAATTAATCTAAATGAATTAAAAATATGATTAAAAATTGCAGCCTGGCATTGTGACGATGCCACAATAAATAATTGCTCGTTCGTTTATATATTTTTTTTATTACTGCAATTGTATTGCATTTTCAATAACAGCAACAATGAGAAAATGAACCCATTCTAATTAAAAATGAATACAAATTTTTTTTCGAAAGATGCATTTTTATGAGAGTGAAAAGACTGGAATATATTAACCGATTTGAATTTATTTGCATATTTTAAATTTTAATTTTATGAGTTTTTGAAGATTGGATAAGATAACGCAACGCATGGACGATTCCCACGGAGGAATGTCTCCAGGAGGATTTCAATGGGAAACTGGTCACTATATAGATGTTAGAAAGGTGAAGAAAACCTGGAAACTTGCAAAATTTCCACATGGCCAGTTCGTTAGTCAGGCGCGAACCCTGAATAGTGTTGAGTACTTTTATCGACTCGGCCACTGGTGGCGGTTAGTTTTTGAGACCTGATTTGTTTTGTTCGTATACGCCACTTATCGCATGGCCGAATACGAACAAAACAAATTGGGAAGACTTTCTATAGAAAATTAGTTCCTATTTAGGTGTTACAAACGTAAAAACCCGGAAAACTGTACGTGGTCAGCTCATTGGCAAGGTGCGAACCCATCTGATACTAAACTTTTTTTTTTATTTCCATTCGAACTGGTACATAAAATTACGTTTCAATTTTTTAAGATTATTTATTTATGTGAAAAATCACGTAATTTTTCCAAGCAGGTCGACCCCATTTCGGGTCGGACAGCTTGTAATGAGCACAATTATAGCAATCTTTACGGCCAATAACTTTAATAATCATTACTTGCATTAAAATGGCATCACACCAGGCTCTGTTTTTCTTCCATGGAATATAATAATTTAAATAATGATAATAATAATAATAATAATAAACAATCTGATTAATGGGATTTATCAAATTGAACATAAAAAGTAATTATAACGATCAAGAAAAATATTTGTTTAGAGAAACCGCAGATTATATTCACAACTTTTTATAACCCTTTCTACCCTGTGGACACTGAGAGAGCCTTTCTAGCTAGACCATCATGGGTTCTGCCAGGCTGGTCGGATGATATCCGAAAATCTCCTGGAATTTTTCGCTTTATTTGGATCCCTCAGAACGGCAGGCTGCCACCTTAGCTGTTCGGCCATCCGGCCGATTTTATTTACTTTTATTGAATGCACGTTTATTATTTATTAGTAAGTACGATTTCATATAACAGGGGTGGCCAACCTGCGGCTCGCGAGCCACATGCGGCTCTTTGAAGGACTATTTGTGGCTCTCGATAAATGTACCCGAGTTCTCTTTTCATTTTTGTGTTATTATATTTTAAAAAATTATTATCGTCCGTATGTGTTTCAAAATGTCTTTTAAATTACTAACAACAAATATAAAAGACTAAGTGCAATGTTGTAACAAATTTCATTTCCGTCCAAGTTAAGAATGATATGACTCATCGAAAACTGCGCGAACGAACATAAACAGTAGTGTAATCGTCCGTTAGCGACGGACTTCAGACCGATTTTGAATTTGTAAACTGTCATTGCAATGGACAGTTGACATTGTGCTCTGGAGGAAACAATTTGTATCACTCTTGCTACGGATATAATTTGTAATCTGGAATTTTTTGCATACCTTTTTAATACGTATTTAATTGCGGCTCGCGAAAAATTTCAAATTTTGAAAAATGGCTCGGACTATCAAGGAGCTTGGCCACACTGGTCATATAAGATTTATTCGTTTAATTAAAATTAAATACGGTTTTAACAAATTACTTAATAAAAATCGATCACGATTCAATAAAAATTCATTAAACACTGCTGGAAAACACTATGATTAAAATTTACAGTAGATTTTAACTGTTTTGATAAAAATAACACAGGAAATTCTGGTAATGCCCACTCAAAATTCTTGGTTTACATATTTAATAATTATTACATAGGACTCATAAAACAGTATATTTTGAAAACTCTAAGCTCTCGCCAGATTAGTTAATGAGATAATTTCACAATTTCTAAAAATGGAAGAATATAACAGTCAAGTTCAAAACACACACATACGTCAGTTAAATTCAAAACGATATATATATTACAAATAAACGTATGTACACTTACAAAGGTTCACAAAACAAACATTCACAAAACTTCAGATGTTAACAAAGTTCTACACATTTATCCACGACACAGGTCCGTCGAAAAGACACCTTGCGACGGATTAACTCTAAAGTCATTTACAACTCAACGAGACGAAACAATCTTCTGGACCAGCTTAGGCGAACTAAAGACCAACGTGAGTTCCAATGATGTATCCTAGGCGAACTAAACTTCCCGCCACAACTCAATCCTTTTATAGGATTGAAGAAGAATTGGATTCCACCAATCAGCGCTTAGCAGCGCTACAAGACGTCCGCCGATGGTGCGATGTCTCTCAACCAATCAGCGGTCGAGTCTTCAAAAGTGGTCCGATTGCCGTTTCTATGACGACAACCGTCATTCGTCGAACAAATGGAAAAGCGCGGGAAAACCGTGTGCCAGACGATTTTTATCCGACAGTAACATCTGATTGGATTGGATAAATGGAATAAGGCGATGCAACACGAGGGCGATCCGCGAGGACTTTCTAATGGAAACTGGTTCTTACTCAAGTCTTAGACACCTGAAGAAAAACCGGAAAACCTGTTGGTGAGATGCCACTAACCCAGTATTTAACGGTTTTATTCACTCGACTGTTGAAGGGCACAATTGGACTGGTTAACACGACTGAGGGATGAAAATGATCTTCCGACCGAAACTGTTTATAAAGAAATAATACACACACACAAAAGTCTAAATTAGCTTCGAACTCGAATCTTATTTTTAGGACAACGGTGATCGTGACCTAAAAATAGTCGATGATTATCCAATTATCATTTATCTTTCTCAGATTTGTCAGTATGAAACATCAACCCATTTTGAAACAAAATTTGACCATTTGATTTTTTTTTTCATACAGACTTTTATTTAAACTGCATAGCCTAAAATTTAATGGAAAACTTTCGTAACATAATTCAAAAAGAATTATATAGTCGAACCTTCAATAATGGTCACTTTTCAAGAACTTTTGTTTCTTACATAAATGCAAAATAATCTCCAAACAACGTCCATTTTTTTATTTCCATCTGTGACCATTGTTCACAGGTCTGTGTTGATTTGGTATAGAAAAATTCTTAGTATATTTGTTAAATAGAGCTAAACATACATTCTCTGTAGAATAATATTTTTAATTTGTTTCATAAAAATAAAATATTTATTTATTATTTTTTAAATATAATTAATTAATGTATAAAAATAAGACTCCACACGATAGACACGAATTCTCATCACCAAGTTTATTATTTTTATTTGTACATTTGAATCCCGTTTACCTCAAATAAACAAAACACAAGACAAACGTTTACTTCAGCACCTCTGAGAAACTAAACAGTCAAATTTTTTATGTAAATATTTACAAATAAATACAAGAAACTTTATTAAATAAGAATTATGTACTTTTAAGAATGAAAGTGTTTTCTGATGTTGATAAAATTCAGAAGTTGATCACACTAGATGGAATAGCAATCTGTACTTAAAAACATATAAGAAGTGTCGTTTTGTCTAAATAGTGTACACTTTTACGTCAAACTGACGTCACTATCTCAAGAAAATTGTATGAATGACGTCAAATTGATGTAATAGAGTACATTATTCGGATAGAACAAATAGTGTCGTTTTGTCTAAATAGTGTACACTCTTACGTCACATTATGTTAAGTGTACACTGACGTCATTAGCTCAATAAAGTTGTAAGAATGACGTCAAATTGATGCAATAGAGTACATTATTCGGATAGAACGAATAGTATCGTTTTGTCTAAATAGTATACACTTTTACGTCACTTTAACGTTAACTGGCGTCATTACCTCAAGAGAACTGTAAGAATGACGTCAAATTGATGTAATAGTGTACATTATTCTGATAGAACGAGTACACCTAAGGAAATGAAGTGACATTACTTTCGTTCGTAATTTATAACTTACATCCCAAATTCTACGTGCATTCAAAAATCTATTCGATAATATTTTTGTGGCGAAAATAGATCATTTCTTAATCACCTAGTAGTTAATAGGAAGTCACATGATGAAGGCTTTTATCTTTTCGTTAATGAATAGCTCGTTGTTTTGGGCTAAAAGAAGGCGTGAAGAGAGCGAGAAAAAGAGATACAGATAGATAAATAGTAGAAATGTCATCCTTAATGGCGACGTGCTGCTTTTTTAAGTGAAAGTAAATCTTGTTTTGTTAAGCGATGTTTAAAAAAATTCTTGGACTTTTGAGCTAATTTAGACCAAACTGTAAACATCCTTCTCATTCGGTAATTTGGAGTTATTGCCATTTTTCTTTTAGCTCAATAATCCCATTTTTGAATATCATAATGATGTAGAACAAGATGCTAATTATATATACATGATCTCATTCTCTACATTCTGTTTTCTTGTGCATCAAAGATGGTAATTATGTGCAATGTAGCAAAAAAAAAAGCTTGTATTATACAATGATCGAAGACTAAAATTCTTATTCTCAGTTTATATGTGGAATGGAAGAATTTGTCATCTAGCTAATGTAGACTCGCACCATCTTAAAAAATTTGGTCGTTATTCTAATCTCTATCTGTGCATTGAAAGGCTATGGAAGCCACCATCTATGGTCACTTCGTTCGTCTCGTAAATGGCTGGATCCTGTTGTAGATCCGAGTGCTTGATATTATAGTATTCTAGAAATGGAAAGAAAAATCTTTCCTAGATTGAGAAATGGGCTGTTTTTTATTACCTGAGTTAAAGACTAGATGATATGGATGGAATGTGGAGCATTTGCTGTTAAACTTTCAAGTCATTTGTACGTAAAATTACGTCCGAATCCGTCAGCACCGATTTCACATCACAGTCAGATTGCTTCCTTAATAATTCTGTATTTTCAGAAATCTGTTCACCGTCTCCTAGAGATTCAACTTCGGTTCCTAGAGTACTAGTTTCTGAGATTTCGACGTTAACAGAATCACCAGAAGAGAAGAAAGAGACTTTTGATTCACCTCCAGTTTCCGCATCAATTCTGATGCTGGGTGTAGTCACCTCAGATTGTTCAATTGTAGAATTGAAACTAGCTTCTAGAGAATGCCTCACGGTTACTTTCTTCTTAAGTCTTTGTCCCAGATCCGAGTTACCTCGATGGATGGTACGTTCGAAGCTTTTGGCTACGGGCGTGTTTGGCTCACTGGCTTGTTTATCTACCAATATGGATTTGGGTTTAGGCATTATAGCGGAACTAGAAGATGCGGTCGCAATGGGACTACTAGTTGGGGCGAGAGATTGCTGATAATGATGAATTGGAGGATTTGGTACCGGTTGAGAAGCTAATAATCGACTACGGTCTTCTATGTACATTTCCATAAATTGATCCAGTTTTGTTTCTATGTCTTCCACCTGTTCGACAAGATTTTGATTTCATTATTTTGACAATTTCAATGTTTACTTATTTTTATTATTAAAAAAAGCGAAGAATAAATGGGGTTAAAAATCTAAATTTAAAACGTTATTTTAGTCTGCAATTATTAATTAAATTAGATATATAGTCAAACCTCAATATAGCACCATTATTTTCTGGCTTCCGAAATTGGTGCTAAATAAATGAAACAATAGGAATTGTATACAATGATGAGGTCTACAAGCAAGTTTGAAATTCATGTGATTTAGCAATAAAAAATAATATTTTCGATGCAAAATCGTGCGTTTATTCACTGGAGCCAAAGTATTTTCCGTTTAATTAATATCTAATAAGAAAATCCGTTCGCTAGCTATGTTCATTGGCGCTATATCGAGGTTCGATTGTATAAATTTTGAACTGAAGAACCGTAAGTTTTCCTTAAGAAATAAGAAAAATTCAACATTAACAGATTAACAAATGTATGCTTTTAAATAGAGATCCTACGGCTATTTAAGTTGTTTACTTAGAAGTTCGCAAGAGTACAGAATAATTTTGCAATTACTTGTGTTTCTTATACAAACAAATATCATTGCAAAATGTATTGTCTCGATTGTACGAATCATACGAATGGAATGAAAGAATAAATATTTATTAAAGTTAAACTGAGCAATATTATTCTTTAAATAAATTCGTTTACGCGCATTTATGCTGAATCTTATGCAATTATAATTTCACGGAAAAATTAAACTTCGATATAGTGTCACTTTTATAAAGCGCCAATAAACACTTGAAAACGGATCTTACTCTTAAATATTATTAAATAGAAAAGGCTTCAACTGTGTCAATTAATAAATATACGATTCAAAGTTCACTGTTATTTACTGTCGAATTTCAAACTTGTTTGTTTGAGGTCTTTCGATTTAGCGTTGAATTCTATTTAATGCCAATTTCGGAGGCGAACAAATGGCGACGCTATATAGAGGTTTGACTGTAACAAAATTTAAAAGAACTTCCACAATGACTCATTTCGATAGTGTAATCAGAGAGGGGCGATGTATCTCGGCCTCCCTTACTTTTATAAATAAATAAATGAAGAAGAAATACTCAAATACTCTTATACACATGTCGAAGAGTCTCACGATATTGTACATACTTGTATACATAATTATACATTTTTGAATAAACTCATTAACTACAACAATACGCGGACGATTTTCTATATTGCAGCCATGTCCATTTATCATTTAAAGTACTGTAATATAATTTTCTCGTAGAATATCCATTGAAAGACAACTATTTTTCAATACTTTTCTATAAATAAGCTCTAACTTAACAAAAGAATCAAACTACAGTTAAACTTCGATATAGCGTCACCCTTTTAAAACGCCAATGAATAGCTGCGCCAGCTGTCAGCTTTTAATTACGTACAGCTTTGTTAACGTCACAATTAATCAAACTTACACTTCTTTCAACTTTTACGATCCTCGAAGCTAAGCTAATTTTCGATTCGTAAACATCCTTCGCTTTAGATCCCGCTTTTCCTAAAATTTGATCCAATCTGCGTAGATAAAAAAAATAAAATAGTTTTTAGATTAATATTACAAATATTAATCTAAAAACTTTAATAAAATTTAATTACAACCTGGATTGAACGTTCTTCACTCTGCTTAAAAGATCCACGTGTCCAGCTGAGTATTGTTCTATAACATCTTTGACGTCGTAAGGTTTTAAGGCCTCTTTGAATTTTCTTCTAGCCACAAAATATTTTATCTAAAATAATAAAAAAATAAATAAAAAAGATAGGTAGAACATATTACTTTTCTGTAGATAGAGGAAACCTTAATCTTCAGCAAAAGATTTGGAGTTATCGATAAGAAAACCTGTTACTGTAAATGGTAAAACAGATAGGAAAACAAAACCCTCGAACTGTGAGGATTTATTTTATAGAATTTCACCTTTAGATTTTTCCATTTGAAAGATTAAAATGATAGAAATCATACGAGTGCTATTTTGGAATCCCTTTCAATTTTTTAAAGAAATTTTCTCAACTTGTATAAAAATTGATTTCTCTTTTTGTACGTTTCAGCATTTACAAGGACTCTTTTTAAGTGCCAATCTTTTCTTTAGTTATTTACGAATCGAACTTATCCATTAAAGTTAATTTAAGGTTTCGATTTGGCCTTAGAATTCGGTTTAAAATTTCGAAATTTTTTTAGTTATTGCTGTTTTTTTTTTCAAATAGAACTTCTTGCTTAAATAAGACGAAATCATTTTCTGTTTCCTCCGGCTTGGATTTAAGGGATAAGGTAACGCAACACGTGGGCGATCTGCTAACAGAGATGATGGGAAGACTTTCTATAAGAAACTGGACCGTATTTAGATGTTAGACAAGAGGAGATGTGGAAAACTGCACCGTTTGTCAGGTGTGAACCCACGACCTAATTTTAGTGGTTTCGAAAGAGTTAAAAATATTTTAAATCTAGAAAAAAAATTAAGTAATAATTTAAAACACATTTATGAATGATTTCATTGAATTTTTATGGTTATGTTTGTATTTTTCTGCTTCAGTAGGCAATTCCATTATCCTTTACATCTTATTAATGAAATCAAAACAAAAGGATTATAAAGATAAAATTGCTGAATTAATAAATGAAAGAGAAGAGTAAAGCTAATTTATCTTTATTATTCATCATTATTATTGAATTTATAACTAAATATGTATTAATGATAAATTAAATAAGAGAAAGACGGAGCTTGATATGGAAACGAATTGTAAACATGTTTACGAAAACAAACCCATAGATAAGAAGAGAGGAGATTGAGATACCTCAGAAGTGAAGCAAGCATTTGATCAATGAATTATGGCCATTTTATCTTAAATTTTTACAATTTTCTATAGCTTCTGATAGTATATATTTAATTTTATGTACAATAACGATATTTTTACTATTAAAAAAATAATCTACCTTTCTAAGTGCTCTTATAGCATTTTTATGTTGTTTTGTAAGTACTGTAAGATGTGGCTCTTCAGCTTCTTCATCTACAAATAAAAAAAACATGTAAAATTGAAAAAAAAATAACTTAGAGTTTTCTTAAACAGCAGCAATAAATATATTAATTGATCGTATATTGTTTGTTTAAAGCTAAACCATACCCACAACTAGAGATAAATTAGGTTAATATAATTTATTAATAATGTAAATTTTTCCATAAAAATCACCCACGAAAGTTATTTCTTACCAAAAGGTGGACTTTCTCTACGTGCTCTGAGAAAGAAACTGCTACAGAAACTGCCTCTCCTAGATCCTATTCTTGGACAAATAATGATTCCATTAGGTCATTCTAGAAAATTTCACAAACTTTCTACAACTATGTACTGGGATCAAATGGCATAAGACAGTCTGAGTTTGTACAAAGCAAAGCAGTGAAGCAAATGTAGTTTGGGTGGGAAAGACGGTAGTTGTTTTTCTATTATTTACACAAGAATAATGGGAAAATGTCTTTGGTATCGTGTGACTATTACAGTTTATATTTAAACAAACAAAATTTCCTTTTTACATGAAAAAAAAATTAGTCACAACGTTCAAAGATATTTTCTCATTAATTTAAGAAATAAATAATTAGCATAGTGCTACAATATACATAAATCAAGTGCTTAAAGTGCATGTGCAGTGCATTCAAATTTGAAAAAATACTGCAAATGAAAAAAAAAAAACAAAAGCACAAAGCAAATATCCTGTAGGTCAGCCATTTACTCAGAGGTGCAGTGCTATACTACTTGTACCTAAAAAGTGCTTGAGAATCTTTAAACTAAATCTAAGATACATAAGTTAATTAATTTATTTAATTTTCTATGGGGACTAATCTAAATTTGAATAGAGTAAAATGCTTTAAAATTCTTTAAATGACAAGAAAAAAGGAGGATTTAAATTAAATAAAGTAAGAATTTACATTTGATTTATATACTTTTTTAAATTGTAATTAAAATTAATTTTTTATTAGTTTTATTTAATAATCCTATTGCTAATTATATTAAAATTTAATCGAATATTTCTAGATGAATTCTTTTTTTTTTCTTTTTAACTGGTTTTTTCCTATCTCCGCCTTAGTTCTTGTCCAACAATTAATTATAATATTATTCTTTTTAAACACGTGTTTTTCTATTTCCAACGTTTGAAGACAATTTATATTACAGAGAAGTAATATTTATTCTAGATATTAAATCAAATATAAACAATTACACACTTAAATGTTTCGGACCATAGGCTTTAAGCACTGCAAACCTGGTAATGCTTCGCCACAGGATTTATAGACGGGCGACAACGCAACGAAAGGTGGATGAGTGAATTCTTTCTGCAGCATGTTGCATAGACCCCATGGGGCAGCAGCCTCTTCCAGAAAACATTCTCAGGTAGCACCATGCAGAACATCACAGATATTGGAGAGGAAAGGATGACATGCGAGAAAAGGAAGAGAAAAGACAAACAACACTGGTCAATCATAACATGCAACAATAAATTAACATTTACTATACAAATAAATCACTATTAATATTATAAACACGAAATTATTAACAAACATCAAACAAGCACAAAACTTTCTCGAAGAGTTTGCAGTTTCCTAGCAGGAAGTTTTTATTTTACTTATTTTTTTTTAAATCTTCAAACTAGGGTTGTTGCTCTGAAATTCATAATAAAACAATATCATTTTATCCAGGAGCGTATCCAGGGGAGGATGCTTATAATGCCAATCCTTTTACTTTAAAATATAAATAAATATAATTTATATGGCATGACTTCAGTTAAGTAACTAAAAGTAATTTTAAGGTAATTAAAATAAGGTAATCAATTACACGACAGGGGAGAACGTGACTTGGACCCCTAACAGCACCCATAGTCTGAAAATACTGGATACGCCACTGATATTATCTATGAAATTGACTCGCGAAGTCTTGTTATTGAATGATATTGCACATGATTTTTTTTTTCAAAAATTTAATACTTATTTTTTAAATAAAAAAGAAAGTTGAAAAAGTTTCCTCCTCTGAAATGTTTTAAAGCGTCGTAGGAGCCATAAACATCGAGAGAAAAATCAATACCGAGTCGTTTATGTTAATATTATTCCTGACATCAGTTTGTTTCTTCTGTTTTGATCAAAGCACCGCATTCCATATGCTTAACGTAAGGTTTTTTGACCTCAAACTGTCGATAGAAAGCAAAAAATTGATATCTACCATCCGAGTTGCGCTTGGAAGCATCAGAGACATCTTTGGACACGCTGTCTTCGCTGTAGCTAGCTGGGATACGGGAACCCAGGTTGTCTGTGGAAGAATTGGAATCACCGAACCGACTTCTGGGCATGGGGGAATGTGTATGAGTTGCCATAGGTTGCTTGTGTCTCCTAATGGTGGATAGGCGACTGACGAAGGAAGTATTGTGCTTGAAACTGGAACAGAATGAGATTCGGTCATCCAATCGAATTCGATTAAACAACATCATTCATTCTTATCTCTAGTAGAAAATGGATTAGAGATAAAGAAAAAGAATGAGAAAATAAAGAAAGATGTGCAGAAAGGCTTATGTTATTGTAGGATTGCTTATAAATTCTCCATTCTATCTTTTCCTAATTAATCAATTAAGAAAAGAGAATTTCTTTTATAAAAAATTTTAAATAATTGTATCCCTTTCTATACATTTTCCTGTGATATATTTTTTGATAAACAAATAAATTTGACGAAGCTACTTTTAATGTATACAAAAGAAAATCCTTGCTCAATAAAATTAACGAAATGGTAAAATAAAATTTGAATATTTTTTCCAAGAGGGAATAATTTGGAATTCTCCTTTTTAAACTTTAAGCCCAACATAAGTAATTGGATTTGTTTGTATTTTCCAATAAGTAGTTACCTTTCTGATACTTACAGACTTCCCCCTCCGGGTGGTAGATCCAGCCTATCTCTGCGTTTAGTGCTTGTAAAGGAAGAAGTCGTATAACTGGAAAAACAGTGCAAAGATGCTGAAGGATAACAGTGCAATTTGTTTTCTCCGTTCAATCGTTCCTCGTGAAAAAATAAACATCTTTCTTATTTTATTACGCCAAGGAAGGATGGAACGAAGATTTAAAAGTGAGAATAAAGTAGGAAAGAAAATAAAGCATTAGGATCAGAAAACAAGACAGAGTTATGCTGCTCATTTTTTTTTCAAATCTTTTCATTTAAATAAAGGTAATTTAACATATGGAATGACTTACACATCACCAATAAAAGGGTTCATGATCAAGTTTCTTACTTGTCTTTATTACTTTAAATCAAGCTTATTGTTTAATATTTATCATCGTCTTACCTTTCTGATTAATTATATATTTTAAAAAAATTATTTTCTACTTATTTTTCATATAAAAAAATAACTAAATAAACTTACGCGGGTGGACTTGGAAGGGGTAACTGATGAATTTTCCATGTAGCTACTGACATGGAATTTTCATCGGCTGCATAACACCTCCATAAGCATTGAATTAGAGTTGCTGCCGGAACCCTTCGCCTAATCATATGCTTCTGACGTTGCTGCTGCTGCACTTTTAGTGCAAAACCCGATCCCAATATTCCCTACACGTTTAAAAGACGTTTAAAATTTATTTAACGAGACATGATTTGTAAAAATTTTCTACTTTTTTCTTTCTTTACTTACGGCTGGCAGAGCGAAGAAAGATATGCCCAAAAGGGCACAAAAGGCAGCTATTAATTTACCAGGCCACGTGATGGGTACGGTATCACCGTACCCGACAGTACAGAGTGTAATCTGAAAAATAATCATGAAAAAATATTAGTGTGCTTTAAAAAATCATCGGAAAATCTTGAATTTTCAATATATTTTGCGAATAAATAAGAAAAATATCAGAGAACAAGGTAATTATATGTTTTTATAAGAGTTCATTAGTGAATAATTGGTAAAAATATCGACTGATTTAATATAATTAAGCAGATCTTATTCCTGTAACAAAGTTAAGATATAATTATGAAATTCTATATTTGAAAAAAATAATATTTGGAATTACTTTTAGAACTGAATTAATCATAGAAAATTTTAATTTTGTAAAAAACAGGAAGAGATTGAATTAATGGGATAAGGAAATGCAACACATGGACGATTTACCAAGGGGTTATCTCCTCTCGAGAGGATTTTCTATGGGAAACTAGCCCCTATGTAGGAGTTAGACACGTGAAGAAAACCTAGAAAACTGTACATGGTGAGACACTAAATGCTAGTGGTTTAAGGACGGTAGGTTCAGTACTTAGGGTGATAGGGTAGCAGCGGTATTGAAGTGGTACTGTACCTTCAGTGATTTTATCCACACACTACTGGTAGACAAAAGGAAAGGGAAGAAATACACAAAAATAAAAGATATGAACAAATCATGACGTTTAGAAAGAAATTAAATATTTTGAGTATAAAATTAAAAGATTTTAACAAAAAAAGAGATAGTAAAAGTTTTAATCGCACGGATAAACAGAAAAAAATAAAAAAAAAAAAAACAGAATTATTTAAAACTTAAAGATGAAACAATGTTTCAAAGAATATATAAATAATCATACGAAAGAAATTTTCCGTTTGGTTTGTACTGAATAAAATAAACATTTTTCAGAGATTAAAAGCAAGACATGTCAACTACAATCGGTGCTATACAATAAACATATCTTTCCTACCTTCAAGTCATGTTTTAAATTTCTTATCGTGCATTTAAAAATGAATAATTTAATTTTAAAATTTAAAATTAAAAAAAATATATATATTTTTTTTCAATTTAAAACTTTTAAAACAGACTTACCACACCCCACCATAATGCATCGGCAAAATTTTTATATTTGGAATTTTCTGCATCTTTTTCGGCAAGAAAAACTAAAAATGACGAAAAAATCAATCCCAGGAAGCCAATATAAAGCGTAGTAATTAGTTCCTGTAAGTAAATATTTGTTTTTAATTCGTAACACTAAAATAAATAAATAAAATGTTAATAATACTTTTATACATACTTAAATAAAACTTCTATTTAAAAATAAAAGAAAAAAAATAGATTTATTTATAGATTTATTTACTTTTATTTTTTGTTTTCCTTGCACTTTTGGTCCTTAAATAGACACCTTACTTAATTGTTTGTGAAGTTAGATAAAGAGAACAAAAGCATACAGCATAAGAAATGTACAGATAAAATGTGATTTTGTATTAATTTGTGTTAAATAACAAATGATTTGTGTATTTTTGCTCGTGAAAAACATATTTTTATTTTATTTACAGAAAAATATACTTCAAAATCAAAGTTATACTCAGAAAATGTATCAGGATTCTTTAGAACTTGTATGGGATCCGGGGTAGAGCGGGCCCCTTTTGCATTTGCCTTTTTATTTTTCTTTGTTTTGAACGAATAAGATACTAGAATGTTACATTATTAATAACAATATATAGTTACATAGTCTTAAACAATTTAATTTATTGTTAGTAAAAATAATATTAATTTATAGAAGTAGTCTCTCAGTAAGTTTCTCCAGCCGGGAAAAAAATCCCCAGCACCCCTTTTCGGCGGCCGTAAAGAGAGTTCATTCAAATTGATTTCGAACCTATGTTCGACGGACATTTTTTTCTTGTTAAGCGATCGACGAAGAACAAAAGATGATGAAAATTGTTCTAATCTATAAGATAATCGCTGCACATTACAATTTAAGCGGTAAATGATGCAATAAATCACATTACCTGCCTATGGGCATAAACTACGGAACCTAGCAACTTCCATGTTCCTCCTCGTCTGTCCATTCTCACCATCCTTAGAATCTGGAAGAACCTTAAGCCACGTAAAGCCGAAGCAGCGAACACTTGGCCACTACTCCCGACGGCCAAGACAATAATCGATGCGATAATCACAATTATATCTGAAATTCAATAATATTAATAAAGATAGAATTAGTAACGTGTAATAGTTTTATCCTTATCAAATGTTATTTAATCATTAATTATATTTACCTATGATACAGAAGGGGCTATGAAGGAATCTTAAACGTCCTATCCAACCTTGATAACGAGATCGACAACCAGCCGACCAAAGGCGTAGGAAAAATTCTAATGTGAACCACACTACCATAAGTATTTCCTGAAGATAGAATATTTAGAATGATTCTCTAACATTCAATAACTTGATAAATACTTCACTACGCAGATTATTTTTTTGTACTTCAAACATATTTACACGGTGCAAATGTAATAATACCTTCGACAATGATTTTCATTGCGATTTTCATATAAAACGTTCATTAACTTACCATTCTCAATAAGATATCACTAGAGATCTGTTCGTATTCGCTTATTGTAGAAAATACACTGAGCACAAGACAAAAGAAAACCATACAAAACCTGTAGAAGAGAGAAAACCTTTTAATTCTTATTAATAAAAGCTCACATAACTCAGATTTTTTAAAATAAATAATTGTTTTAAGCTAAATTATATTAAAATTCTGCTTTTAATCGTTAATTTAATTTTCTTTCTTCACCAATAGCCCAGTTAATGAGTTAAAGTGTAATAAAATTTTTAAAAAGTTACATGATATTATCAGTTTTAACTCTATTTCAGAGTATATTTTTATGATCGCTTTACAAAATAATACAAGTTACTATTAATCTCTTAACTAAAATTTTACAACATTCTATTTATATCAAAAATAATACAATTTAAACGTATTAAAGCAGGTTACGAGAGAATTTTAGGAAGTTACGTGTAGTTTAAGGATAAAAGACTGAAGCTAATTCCATTACAATAGTCATAAGCTCCTAATTACAGGGTAGATAAGAGGTATTATGAATCATAATACCAACTGCAAGCAGCTCTCCAAGATATCAACAATCTAAATATACCGATTTTCTCTTCCTTGTTATTTAACATAGAATGTAAATAGCGGAATTCTCTTCTCTGTCATATGCAGTTATATATAGTAGCGTAACAAGGGAGAAGTTTCCTTTGTAAATAAATGAAGAAAAGTTAAATAAGTACAAGAAAACGATTAGAATATAAGAGATGCACTTATATGCATGTGTATAGAATATCTAACACTTTACTCTTCTTCCACAGCATTAGTTGATGAAGAGCAAGCCAGTGGCTGTATCCACTAACGCTGTGCAAAGTTGAAAAATTCATTTTAATTTATGTTAAAAAAATTAATTTAATCTAAAACTTAATTTATTAGGCATTTTATCAAAGTAACAAAACGAATATAAACTTTAAGTAATTATTTTGTAATGAAAAAAAAAAGGAAAATTGCAGAGATTTAGTTTTGATATTGAACTAAATTTTAATTTAAAATAAATGCAAATTTTACTTCAAAGAATTAATACTTTAATTCTTTATAACAAAGAAGAAGAAAGCATAACATTAAAATCTTATAATAAAGCTAAAATTCATTATTTTTTAAGAAAAATATTTATTAAAATGATGTAGTAATGTTCTTTTTTTCTGTATTTAAATAAAGCTTCGATAAGATAAAGAAAATAATCAATCAAAACTTTATCTTGTGTGCATTTTAGCTTAATTTATTTGATGTGGTGCCGATAAAAACAGAAATAATAAATCAGTTTTAAGTCATTTCAAAACGTATATTTGTAAAAAAAATTATATTAATTATTCATTTTCCATGTCAAATTGCAATATAAAGATTATTATTCTTATTGAAACATTGAAGAATTACCTTAATTGAAAATTTTAAAAGAATTAAAACTTGGAATTAATGGATATTAACATAAACAAAAATTATTTCCGGGAAGAATAATAATCAAATTTTTGCGATTTTCTGTACTAATTATTAAATTTAATAAATTTGGAATTCATAAGTACATCTTAATTGAAGTGATGTTTGCTTAAGTGTTATTTACATTCAATTATATTTTAAAAGTTCATTTATAACGTTATTATTAATTATTTTTAAATTATAAATTAAATTAAATTATGTGATTTATAACTTAAGTAAACTAGGAAGTCCATTATGCCCACAAGTTTGGACTATTGTTTTGACCAATTCCATACCTACAGTCCAGACGGTAATCTAAACTATGGGTATGGAATTGGTCAAAATAATAGTCCAAACTTAATGAGATCCCCTATTTGTATATTATTTAACTCTCCTCAACAAGAGGGTCTTTTTAATCTGTTAGTCGTGGATTCGGCATGGGGTCAGATCGCCTCCGAAAATTTATGGTGTTACTCGCTTGGATTCGATCCCGGATGCTCTTTAATCCTCTCGATCATCAGATTGTCGTGTTCTTTTAATTTATATATTTGTAGGCATGAGGCAACGCAACGCATGGATGATCTATCAAGGGGGCATCCTAGAAGGATTTTCTTGATAAACTGATCCCTATTTGGGTGTTATGCAGGCGAGGAAAAATCCGGAAAACTTTACGTGAAAAACCCGTCAGGACGTCAATTTATATTTGATATATTTATAATTATCTTATGTTATTGTATGTACTGTAATATTTTATATCTTCGAATCCTCACCATTTATCGCTTCGTCGCAACAATATCGTTTCTATCCTGAAAGACATTTCATATATCAAATAATTCATCTATACGAATACCAAATTACACTTTATTCATATGAAATTGTTCTTAGTTCACTAACTTTTGTGAATACGTCGACACACTTCAAATCTAAATAAAGATTATTTGAATGGCAGAAATATATATTTTTATAACAAACAATACACTCTGAGTTGCAATTTCATTGCATTTCGTACTCTATTTCAGTTCATGTATTGTATAAATTTTTATTTCCTATCGAATTTTTCTCCTGTTGACATTTCTAGATAACTTTATTTGTCATTCGGCTTGCAATATTTTTTGAATCTGATAGATGTTTTTTTTTCTTTCTTTCTACACTAGAAGAACTTTCCTATTATAGATTTTACGAAGATAAAACAAATTATCGTTTGTTTATGTTTAGTCTTTTGTTATTACGCTAATAAATAAAGAAAAATTGTTTTGAAAATTTCTTTTTCCAATGTTTACAAGTAAATTACAGTCACTTTGTATCGTCGTGTTAGCATGTAAGGAATGTAATTCTTATATTTCAGCGTGACAATTACACACGGAATATTACGAAATTCTAAATTTAATTTACAAATTACAACATTATAATCAAATGAATCGTGTTGAAATAAAAAATTTCAACATTACAAATCTCAACGCACAAACAAATCAGTTAATTTAATTCGTAATTAAATGCAAAAGTTTATTATTATTGTTATTATTAATTCTACAAAATTCATTAAAGTAATTGTTCTACATTTATTAATGAAGAGTTTCTACTTAGTTTATTATTATTGTTATTTTGAATTCTACAAAATTCATTAAAGTAATTGTTCTACATTTATTAATGAAGAGTTTCTACTTAATTTGTTATGCTTAACATTTACATTATTATACATCAGGGACTTACTTTAATTTCAATGAAACTGTTGACTTTTCTAATATTTAACTTATAAAACTTTTAAGATTATATATANTGTTATTATTATTATGGGAAAATATTTAAATTATTTAAAATTATTTTCACATTACCTGATTTGATTTTAAGTAGTTATATAAGTAAATATTTTAAAAAATTACTTAGAAATAAGCAAGCAATTTAAAATTTTTAATGTATTTTCACTTTTTTTTGAGATGTAATTACAGAATTTTATAATTTAAAATGCCGTGATTGTACTTAATTTCATATCGAGTGTGTCATGAAATCTAGTTTCATGCTGCTAAATGTTATATGAAGATTTTGAAGGAAAGCATCAGCAAAAGGAGGATTCTTAAACCAGAACATGATACATGTAAACAAGTCTGACAGTGGCTTTCTTTGTAGCTGACAATATTTGAATTGAATTTCAAAAAACCAAACCCGTATGAGAATATTGCACCTTTTGTTGATAACTGATACTTTCTCGCAAGGTAAAAGGAGCACTTCACGGATTTCATGACGAATTTTTGTTTGTATACAACAATGTGACACGTGGGCAATCCTCCCGGGAGGATTTTCTATGGTAAGGTAAACTGGCCCCTATTTAGATGTTACCAACGTGAAGAAAACCCGGAAAACTCCACGTGGTCAGTCTGTTGGCGAGGCGCGAACGAAGTGGTCAGTATTCAGTGGTGTTATTCACTCGGCCACTGGTGGACTAATTTCATAACACACGCTGTATATAAAACAAAGCAAAAATCATTTCATTGCTCCACAATAAAATGTAAAAATTTGTGTTTCATAGCTTGATAATATACAAATGGTGTTTATTTTACTTAAATCTGTAATGTTCTTGATTTACATTAATATAAAATAAAAACATTTCCTAATGATTTACTTCTCAGTCAATTTCTCTTTGTTTCAACATAGAATTGTACTTGAAGAAATGACACAGAGTAAAAGAATATTTACATATAATTAACTAACGATGAATAAAACAATTTTTAAAAATCTAGCAACGAGTTGCATAACTTTCCCGGTTTTTATGAAATTTTATTTTAAAAATAACATTTGTATTACTAATCAAAATAAATAAATAAATTGTATGTGGCGTCATCTATTATGATATTTTCTTATAAAAATTTTATATATTTTTAATTGTTATAAAATAGCAAAAGACTTAATTTTGAGAGTGGAGATGAGTTTTATAAAACACATGAAAAATTTTTGCCAACACAATGCTAACAATGAGTAAAATCTTCATTAAGTCTGACCCTCACGAAATATATCACGTGACCACCCGCTATCTCCTCATCCCCTTGACCTTTTACAACCAAAATTTAATAGTGTCAATGCCCTTATATACGNACAACTATTTTTCAATACTTTTCTATAAATAAGCTCTAACTTAACAAAAGAATCAAACTACAGTTAAACTTCGATATAGCGTCACCCTTTTAAAACGCCAATGAATAGCTGCGCCAGCTGTCAGCTTTTAATTACGTACAGCTTTGTTAACGTCACAATTAATCAAACTTACACTTCTTTCAACTTTTACGATCCTCGAAGCTAAGCTAATTTTCGATTCGTAAACATCCTTCGCTTTAGATCCCGCTTTTCCTAAAATTTGATCCAATCTGCGTAGATAAAAAAAATAAAATAGTTTTTAGATTAATATTACAAATATTAATCTAAAAACTTTAATAAAATTTAATTACAACCTGGATTGAACGTTCTTCACTCTGCTTAAAAGATCCACGTGTCCAGCTGAGTATTGTTCTATAACATCTTTGACGTCGTAAGGTTTTAAGGCCTCTTTGAATTTTCTTCTAGCCACAAAATATTTTATCTAAAATAATAAAAAAATAAATAAAAAAGATAGGTAGAACATATTACTTTTCTGTAGATAGAGGAAACCTTAATCTTCAGCAAAAGATTTGGAGTTATCGATAAGAAAACCTGTTACTGTAAATGGTAAAACAGATAGGAAAACAAAACCCTCGAACTGTGAGGATTTATTTTATAGAATTTCACCTTTAGATTTTTCCATTTGAAAGATTAAAATGATAGAAATCATACGAGTGCTATTTTGGAATCCCTTTCAATTTTTTAAAGAAATTTTCTCAACTTGTATAAAAATTGATTTCTCTTTTTGTACGTTTCAGCATTTACAAGGACTCTTTTTAAGTGCCAATCTTTTCTTTAGTTATTTACGAATCGAACTTATCCATTAAAGTTAATTTAAGGTTTCGATTTGGCCTTAGAATTCGGTTTAAAATTTCGAAATTTTTTTAGTTATTGCTGTTTTTTTTTTCAAATAGAACTTCTTGCTTAAATAAGACGAAATCATTTTCTGTTTCCTCCGGCTTGGATTTAAGGGATAAGGTAACGCAACACGTGGGCGATCTGCTAACAGAGATGATGGGAAGACTTTCTATAAGAAACTGGACCGTATTTAGATGTTAGACAAGAGGAGATGTGGAAAACTGCACCGTTTGTCAGGTGTGAACCCACGACCTAATTTTAGTGGTTTCGAAAGAGTTAAAAATATTTTAAATCTAGAAAAAAAATTAAGTAATAAATAAAATTGTAATAATTTAAAACACATTTATGAATGATTTCATTGAATTTTTATGGTTATGTTTGTATTTTTCTGCTTCAGTAGGCAATTCCATTATCCTTTACATCTTATTAATGAAATCAAAACAAAAGGATTATAAAGATAAAATTGCTGAATTAATAAATGAAAGAGAAGAGTAAAGCTAATTTATCTTTATTATTCATCATTATTATTGAATTTATAACTAAATATGTATTAATGATAAATTAAATAAGAGAAAGATTGAGCTTGATATGGAAACGAATTGTAAACATGTTTACGAAAACAAACCCATAGATAAGAAGAGAGGAGATTGAGATACCTCAGAAGTGAAGCAAGCATTTGATCAATGAATTATGGCCATTTTATCTTAAATTTTTACAATTTTCTATAGCCTCTGATAGTATATTTTTAATTTTATGTACAATAACGATATTTTTACTATAAAAAAAATAATCTACCTTTCTAAGTGCTCTTATAGCATTTTTATGTTGTTTTGTAAGTACTGTAAGATGTGGCTCTTCAGCTTCTTCATCTACAAATAAAAAAAACATGTAAAATTGAAAAAAAAATAACTTAGAGTTTTCTTAAACAGCAGCAATAAATATATTAATTGATCGTATATTGTTTGTTTAAAGCTAAACCATACCCACAACTAGAGATAAATTAGGTTAATATAATTTATTAATAATGTAAATTTTTCCATAAAAATCACCCACGAAAGTTATTTCTTACCAAAAGGTGGACTTTCTCTACGTGCTCTGAGAAAGAAACTGCTACAGAAACTGCCTCTCCTAGATCCTATTCTTGGACAAATAATGATTCCATTAGGTCATTCTAGAAAATTTCACAAACTTTCTACAACTATGTACTGGGATCAAATGGCATAAGACAGTCTGAGTTTGTACAAAGCAAAGCAGTGAAGCAAATGTAGTTTGGGTGGGAAAGACGGTAGTTGTTTTTCTATTATTTACACAAGAATAATGGGAAAATGTCTTTGGTATCGTGTGACTATTACAGTTTATATTTAAACAAACAAAATTTACTTTTTACATGAAAAAAAAATTAGTCACAACGTTCAAAGATATTTTCTCATTAATTTAAGAAATAAATAATTAGCATAGTGCTACAATATACATAAATCAAGTGCTTAAAGTGCATGTGCAGTGCATTCAAATTTGAAAAAATACTGCAAATGAAAAAAAAAAAACAAAAGCACAAAGCAAATATCCTGTAGGTCAGCCATTTACTCAGAGGTGCAGTGCTATACTACTTGTACCTAAAAAGTGCTTGAGAATCTTTAAACTAAATCTAAGATACATAAGTTAATTAATTTATTTAATTTTCTATGGGGACTAATCTAAATTTGAATAGAGTAAAATGCTTTAAAATTCTTTAAATGACAAGAAAAAAGGAGGATTTAAATTAAATAAAGTAAGAATTTACATTTGATTTATATACTTTTTTAAATTGTAATTAAAATTAATTTTTTATTAGTTTTATTTAATAATCCTATTGCTAATTATATTAAAATTTAATCGAATATTTCTAGATGAATTCTTTTTTTTTTCTTTTTAACTGGTTTTTTCCTATCTCCGCCTTAGTTCTTGTCCAACAATTAATTATAATATTATTCTTTTTAAACACGTGTTTTTCTATTTCCAACGTTTGAAGACAATTTATATTACAGAGAAGTAATATTTATTCTAGATATTAAATCAAATATAAACAATTACACACTTAAATGTTTCGGACCATAGGCTTTAAGCACTGCAAACCTGGTAATGCTTCGCCACAGGATTTATAGACGGGCGACAACGCAACGAAAGGTGGATGAGTGAATTCTTTCTGCAGCATGTTGCATAGACCCCATGGGGCAGCAGCCTCTTCCAGAAAACATTCTCAGGTAGCACCATGCAGAACATCACAGATATTGGAGAGGAAAGGATGACATGCGAGAAAAGGAAGAGAAAAGACAAACAACACTGGTCAATCATAACATGCAACAATAAATTAACATTTACTATACAAATAAATCACTATTAATATTATAAACACGAAATTATTAACAAACATCAAACAAGCACAAAACTTTCTCGAAGAGTTTGCAGTTTCCTAGCAGGAAGTTTTTATTTTACTTATTTTTTTTTAAATCTTCAAACTAGGGTTGTTGCTCTGAAATTCATAATAAAACAATATCATTTTATCCAGGAGCGTATCCAGGGGAGGATGCTTATAATGCCAATCCTTTTACTTTAAAATATAAATAAATATAATTTATATGGCATGACTTCAGTTAAGTAACTAAAAGTAATTTTAAGGTAATTAAAATAAGGTAATCAATCACACGACAGGGGAGAACGTGACTTGGACCCCTAACAGCACCCATAGTCTGAAAATACTGGATACGCCACTGATATTATCTATGAAATTGACTCGCGAAGTCTTGTTATTGAATGATATTGCACATGATTTTTTTTTTCAAAAATTTAATACTTATTTTTTAAATAAAAAAGAAAGTTGAAAAAGTTTCCTCCTCTAAAATGTTTTAAAGCGTCGTAGGAGCCATAAACATCGAGAGAAAAATCAATACCGAGTCGTTTATGTTAATATTATTCCTGACATCAGTTTGTTTCTTCTGTTTTGATCAAAGCACCGCATTCCATATGCTTAACGTAAGGTTTTTTGACCTCAAACTGTCGATAGAAAGCAAAAAATTGATATCTACCATCCGAGTTGCGCTTGGAAGCATCAGAGACATCTTTGGACACGCTGTCTTCGCTGTAGCTAGCTGGGATACGGGAACCCAGGTTGTCTGTGGAAGAATTGGAATCACCGAACCGACTTCTGGGCATGGGGGAATGTGTATGAGTTGCCATAGGTTGCTTGTGTCTCCTAATGGTGGATAGGCGACTGACGAAGGAAGTATTGTGCTTGAAACTGGAACAGAATGAGATTCGGTCATCCAATCGAATTCGATTAAACAACATCATTCATTCTTATCTCTAGTAGAAAATGGATTAGAGATAAAGAAAAAGAATGAGAAAATAAAGAAAGATGTGCAGAAAGGCTTATGTTATTGTAGGATTGCTTATAAATTCTCCATTCTATCTTTTCCTAATTAATCAATTAAGAAAAGAGAATTTCTTTTATAAAAAATTTTAAATAATTGTATCCCTTTCTATACATTTTCCTGTGATATATTTTTTGATAAACAAATAAATTTGACGAAGCTACTTTTAATGTATACAAAAGAAAATCCTTGCTCAATAAAATTAACGAAATGGTAAAATAAAATTTGAATATTTTTTCCAAGAGGGAATAATTTGGAATTCTCCTTTTTAAACTTTAAGCCCAACATAAGTAATTGGATTTGTTTGTATTTTCCAATAAGTAGTTACCTTTCTGATACTTACAGACTTCCCCCTCCGGGTGGTAGATCCAGCCTATCTCTGCGTTTAGTGCTTGTAAAGGAAGAAGTCGTATAACTGGAAAAACAGTGCAAAGATGCTGAAGGATAACAGTGCAATTTGTTTTCTCCGTTCAATCGTTCCTCGTGAAAAAATAAACATCTTTCTTATTTTATTACGCCAAGGAAGGATGGAACGAAGATTTAAAAGTGAGAATAAAGTAGGAAAGAAAATAAAGCATTAGGATCAGAAAACAAGACAGAGTTATGCTGCTCATTTTTTTTTCAAATCTTTTCATTTAAATAAAGGTAATTTAACATATGGAATGACTTACACATCACCAATAAAAGGGTTCATGATCAAGTTTCTTACTTGTCTTTATTACTTTAAATCAAGCTTATTGTTTAATATTTATCATCGTCTTACCTTTCTGATTAATTATATATTTTAAAAAAATTATTTTCTACTTATTTTTCATATAAAAAAATAACTAAATAAACTTACGCGGGTGGACTTGGAAGGGGTAACTGATGAATTTTCCATGTAGCTACTGACATGGAATTTTCATCGGCTGCATAACACCTCCATAAGCATTGAATTAGAGTTGCTGCCGGAACCCTTCGCCTAATCATATGCTTCTGACGTTGCTGCTGCTGCACTTTTAGTGCAAAACCCGATCCCAATATTCCCTACACGTTTAAAAGACGTTTAAAATTTATTTAACGAGACATGATTTGTAAAAATTTTCTACTTTTTTCTTTCTTTACTTACGGCTGGCAGAGCGAAGAAAGATATGCCCAAAAGGGCACAAAAGGCAGCTATTAATTTACCAGGCCACGTGATGGGTACGGTATCACCGTACCCGACAGTACAGAGTGTAATCTGAAAAATAATCATGAAAAAATATTAGTGTGCTTTAAAAAATCATCGGAAAATCTTGAATTTTCAATATATTTTGCGAATAAATAAGAAAAATATCAGAGAACAAGGTAATTATATGTTTTTATAAGAGTTCATTAGTGAATAATTGGTAAAAATATCGACTGATTTAATATAATTAAGCAGATCTTATTCCTGTAACAAAGTTAAGATATAATTATGAAATTCTATATTTGAAAAAAATAATATTTGGAATTACTTTTAGAACTGAATTAATCATAGAAAATTTTAATTTTGTAAAAAACAGGAAGAGATTGAATTAATGGGATAAGGAAATGCAACACATGGACGATTTACCAAGGGGTTATCTCCTCTCGAGAGGATTTTCTATGGGAAACTAGCCCCTATGTAGGAGTTAGACACGTGAAGAAAACCTAGAAAACTGTACATGGTGAGACACTAAATGCTAGTGGTTTAAGGACGGTAGGTTCAGTACTTAGGGTGATAGGGTAGCAGCGGTATTGAAGTGGTACTGTACCTTCAGTGATTTTATCCACACACTACTGGTAGACAAAAGGAAAGGGAAGAAATACACAAAAATAAAAGATATGAACAAATCATGACGTTTAGAAAGAAATTAAATATTTTGAGTATAAAATTAAAAGATTTTAACAAAAAAAGAGATAGTAAAAGTTTTAATCGCACGGATAAACAGAAAAAAATAAAAAAAAAAAAAAACAGAATTATTTAAAACTTAAAGATGAAACAATGTTTCAAAGAATATATAAATAATCATACGAAAGAAATTTTCCGTTTGGTTTGTACTGAATAAAATAAACATTTTTCAGAGATTAAAAGCAAGACATGTCAACTACAATCGGTGCTATACAATAAACATATCTTTCCTACCTTCAAGTCATGTTTTAAATTTCTTATCGTGCATTTAAAAATGAATAATTTAATTTTAAAATTTAAAATTAAAAAAAATATATATATTTTTTTTCAATTTAAAACTTTTAAAACAGACTTACCACACCCCACCATAATGCATCGGCAAAATTTTTATATTTGGAATTTTCTGCATCTTTTTCGGCAAGAAAAACTAAAAATGACGAAAAAATCAATCCCAGGAAGCCAATATAAAGCGTAGTAATTAGTTCCTGTAAGTAAATATTTGTTTTTAATTCGTAACACTAAAATAAATAAATAAAATGTTAATAATACTTTTATACATACTTAAATAAAATTTTTATTTAGAAATAAAATAAAGAAAATAGATTTATTTATAGATTTATTTACTTTTATTTTTTGTTTTCCTTGCACTTTTGGTCCTTAAATAGACACCTTACTTAATTGTTTGTGAAGTTAGATAAAGAGAACAAAAGCATACAGCATAAGAAATGTACAGATAAAATGTGATTTTGTATTAATTTGTGTTAAATAACAAATGATTTGTGTATTTTTGCTCGTGAAAAACATATTTTTATTTTATTTACAGAAAAATATACTTCAAAATCAAAGTTATACTCAGAAAATGTATCAGGATTCTTTAGAACTTGTATGGGATCCGGGGTAGAGCGGGCCCCTTTTGCATTTGCCTTTTTATTTTTCTTTGTTTTGAACGAATAAGATACTAGAATGTTACATTATTAATAACAATATATAGTTACATAGTCTTAAACAATTTAATTTATTGTTAGTAAAAATAATATTAATTTATAGAAGTAGTCTCTCAGTAAGTTTCTCCAGCCGGGAAAAAAATCCCCAGCACCCCTTTTCGGCGGCCGTAAAGAGAGTTCATTCAAATTGATTTCGAACCTATGTTCGACGGACATTTTTTTCTTGTTAAGCGATCGACGAAGAACAAAAGATGATGAAAATTGTTCTAATCTATAAGATAATCGCTGCACATTACAATTTAAGCGGTAAATGATGCAATAAATCACATTACCTGCCTATGGGCATAAACTACGGAACCTAGCAACTTCCATGTTCCTCCTCGTCTGTCCATTCTCACCATCCTTAGAATCTGGAAGAACCTTAAGCCACGTAAAGCCGAAGCAGCGAACACTTGGCCACTACTCCCGACGGCCAAGACAATAATCGATGCGATAATCACAATTATATCTGAAATTCAATAATATTAATAAAGATAGAATTAGTAACGTGTAATAGTTTTATCCTTATCAAATGTTATTTAATCATTAATTATATTTACCTATGATACAGAAGGGGCTATGAAGGAATCTTAAACGTCCTATCCAACCTTGATAACGAGATCGACAACCAGCCGACCAAAGGCGTAGGAAAAATTCTAATGTGAACCACACTACCATAAGTATTTCCTGAAGATAGAATATTTAGAATGATTCTCTAACATTCAATAACTTGATAAATACTTCACTACGCAGATTATTTTTTTGTACTTCAAACATATTTACACGGTGCAAATGTAATAATACCTTCGACAATGATTTTCATTGCGATTTTCATATAAAACGTTCATTAACTTACCATTCTCAATAAGATATCACTAGAGATCTGTTCGTATTCGCTTATTGTAGAAAATACACTGAGCACAAGACAAAAGAAAACCATACAAAACCTGTAGAAGAGAGAAAACCTTTTAATTCTTATTAATAAAAGCTCACATAACTCAGATTTTTTAAAATAAATAATTGTTTTAAGCTAAATTATATTAAAATTCTGCTTTTAATCGTTAATTTAATTTTCTTTCTTCACCAATAGCCCAGTTAATGAGTTAAAGTGTAATAAAATTTTTAAAAAGTTACATGATATTATCAGTTTTAACTCTATTTCAGAGTATATTTTTATGATCGCTTTACAAAATAATACAAGTTACTATTAATCTCTTAACTAAAATTTTACAACATTCTATTTATATCAAAAATAATACAATTTAAACGTATTAAAGCAGGTTACGAGAGAATTTTAGGAAGTTACGTGTAGTTTAAGGATAAAAGACTGAAGCTAATTCCATTACAATAGTCATAAGCTCCTAATTACAGGGTAGATAAGAGGTATTATGAATCATAATACCAACTGCAAGCAGCTCTCCAAGATATCAACAATCTAAATATACCGATTTTCTCTTCCTTGTTATTTAACATAGAATGTAAATAGCGGAATTCTCTTCTCTGTCATATGCAGTTATATATAGTAGCGTAACAAGGGAGAAGTTTCCTTTGTAAATAAATGAAGAAAAGTTAAATAAGTACAAGAAAACGATTAGAATATAAGAGATGCACTTATATGCATGTGTATAGAATATCTAACACTTTACTCTTCTTCCACAGCATTAGTTGATGAAGAGCAAGCCAGTGGCTGCATCCACTAACGCTGTGCAAAGTTGAAAAATTCATTTTAATTTATGTTAAAAAAATTAATTTAATCTAAAACTTAATTTATTAGGCATTTTATCAAAGTAACAAAACGAATATAAACTTTAAGTAATTATTTTGTAATGAAAAAAAAAAGGAAAATTGCAGAGATTTAGTTTTGATATTGAACTAAATTTTAATTTAAAATAAATGCAAATTTTACTTCAAAGAATTAATACTTTAATTCTTTATAACAAAGAAGAAGAAAGCATAACATTAAAATCTTATAATAAAGCTAAAATTCATTATTTTTTAAGAAAAATATTTATTAAAATGATGTAGTAATGTTCTTTTTTTCTGTATTTAAATAAAGCTTCGATAAGATAAAGAAAATAATCAATCAAAACTTTATCTTGTGTGCATTTTAGCTTAATTTATTTGATGTGGTGCCGATAAAAACAGAAATAATAAATCAGTTTTAAGTCATTTCAAAACGTATATTTGTAAAAAAAATTATATTAATTATTCATTTTCCATGTCAAATTGCAATATAAAGATTATTATTCTTATTGAAACATTGAAGAATTACCTTAATTGAAAATTTTAAAAGAATTAAAACTTGGAATTAATGGATATTAACATAAACAAAAATTATTTCCGGGAAGAATAATAATCAAATTTTTGCGATTTTCTGTACTAATTATTAAATTTAATAAATTTGGAATTCATAAGTACATCTTAATTGAAGTGATGTTTGCTTAAGTGTTATTTACATTCAATTATATTTTAAAAGTTCATTTATAACGTTATTATTAATTATTTTTAAATTATAAATTAAATTAAATTATGTGATTTATAACTTAAGTAAACTAGGAAGTCCATTATGCCCACAAGTTTGGACTATTGTTTTGACCAATTCCATACCTACAGTCCAGACGGTAATCTAAACTATGGGTATGGAATTGGTCAAAATAATAGTCCAAACTTAATGAGATCCCCTATTTGTATATTATTTAACTCTCCTCAACAAGAGGGTCTTTTTAATCTGTTAGTCGTGGATTCGGCATGGGGTCAGATCGCCTCCGAAAATTTATGGTGTTACTCGCTTGGATTCGATCCCGGATGCTCTTTAATCCTCTCGATCATCAGATTGTCGTGTTCTTTTAATTTATATATTTGTAGGCATGAGGCAACGCAACGCATGGATGATCTATCAAGGGGGCATCCTAGAAGGATTTTCTTGATAAACTGATCCCTATTTGGGTGTTATGCAGGCGAGGAAAAATCCGGAAAACTTTACGTGAAAAACCCGTCAGGACGTCAATTTATATTTGATATATTTATAATTATCTTATGTTATTGTATGTACTGTAATATTTTATATCTTCGAATCCTCACCATTTATCGCTTCGTCGCAACAATATCGTTTCTATCCTGAAAGACATTTCATATATCAAATAATTCATCTATACGAATACCAAATTACACTTTATTCATATGAAATTGTTCTTAGTTCACTAACTTTTGTGAATACGTCGACACACTTCAAATCTAAATAAAGATTATTTGAATGGCAGAAATATATATTTTTATAACAAACAATACACTCTGAGTTGCAATTTCATTGCATTTCGTACTCTATTTCAGTTCATGTATTGTATAAATTTTTATTTCCTATCGAATTTTTCTCCTGTTGACATTTCTAGATAACTTTATTTGTCATTCGGCTTGCAATATTTTTTGAATCTGATAGATGTTTTTTTTTCTTTCTTTCTACACTAGAAGAACTTTCCTATTATAGATTTTACGAAGATAAAACAAATTATCGTTTGTTTATGTTTAGTCTTTTGTTATTACGCTAATAAATAAAGAAAAATTGTTTTGAAAATTTCTTTTTCCAATGTTTACAAGTAAATTACAGTCACTTTGTATCGTCGTGTTAGCATGTAAGGAATGTAATTCTTATATTTCAGCGTGACAATTACACACGGAATATTACGAAATTCTAAATTTAATTTACAAATTACAACATTATAATCAAATGAATCGTGTTGAAATAAAAAATTTCAACATTACAAATCTCAACGCACAAACAAATCAGTTAATTTAATTCGTAATTAAATGCAAAAGTTTATTATTATTGTTATTATTATTATGGGAAAATATTTAAATTATTTAAAATTATTTTCACATTACCTGATTTGATTTTAAGTAGTTATATAAGTAAATATTTTAAAAAATTACTTAGAAATAAGCAAGCAATTTAAAATTTTTAATGTATTTTCACTTTTTTTTGAGATGTAATTACAGAATTTTATAATTTAAAATGCCGTGATTGTACTTAATTTCATATCGAGTGTGTCATGAAATCTAGTTTCATGCTGCTAAATGTTATATGAAGATTTTGAAGGAAAGCATCAGCAAAAGGAGGATTCTTAAACCAGAACATGATACATGTAAACAAGTCTGACAGTGGCTTTCTTTGTAGCTGACAATATTTGAATTGAATTTCAAAAAACCAAACCCGTATGAGAATATTGCACCTTTTGTTGATAACTGATACTTTCTCGCAAGGTAAAAGGAGCACTTCACGGATTTCATGACGAATTTTTGTTTGTATACAACAATGTGACACGTGGGCAATCCTCCCGGGAGGATTTTCTATGGTAAGGTAAACTGGCCCCTATTTAGATGTTACCAACGTGAAGAAAACCCGGAAAACTCCACGTGGTCAGTCTGTTGGCGAGGCGCGAACGAAGTGGTCAGTATTCAGTGGTGTTATTCACTCGGCCACTGGTGGACTAATTTCATAACACACGCTGTATATAAAACAAAGCAAAAATCATTTCATTGCTCCACAATAAAATGTAAAAATTTGTGTTTCATAGCTTGATAATATATAAATGGTGTTTATTTTACTTAAATCTGTAATGTTCTTGATTTACATTAATATAAAATAAAAACATTTCCTAATGATTTACTTCTCAGTCAATTTCTCTTTGTTTCAACATAGAATTGTACTTGAAGAAATGACACAGAGTAAAAGAAAATTTACATATAATTAACTAACGATGAATAAAACAATTTTTAAAAATCTAGCAACGAGTTGCATAACTTTCCCGGTTTTTATGAAATTTTATTTTAAAAATAACATTTGTATTACTAATCAAAATAAATAAATAAATTGTATGTGGCGTCATCTATTATGATATTTTGTTATAAAAATTTTATATATTTTTAATTGTTATAAAATAGCAAAAGACTTAATTTTGAGAGTGGAGATGAGTTTTATAAAACACATGAAAAATTTTTGCCAACACAATGCTAACAATGAGTAAAATCTTCATTAAGTCTGACCCTCACGAAATATATCACGTGACCACCCGCTATCTCCTCATCCCCTTGACCTTTTACAACCAAAATTTAATAGTGTCAATGCCCTTATATACGAGCTAACGTACCAAATTTCGTTGCCGTCTTTTTTTACTTTTTTTTGGTTCAGGAGGTCACAAAACGTGGAGATTTGCAAAACACTCGGAGTGTCAAATTTGACACGATTCCATTACTTTCCCTTGTTATATATACATAATAGCCGGGAAAGTAAAATTAAATAAAAATCACTGTTTTAATAAATTATAAGATTAAATTTATATAAGCAAAAGAACAATAAAATTGCCTGAACGGTTAAAAAAAAAACTATTTTTGTCATCTGTCACTTTTTTTATCCTGCTAGTAGCTGAGTGGATAAAACCAATGAACTAGTGGTAAACACTAGTAATTGGTTGCGGGTTCGCGCCTCACCAACAGGCAAGCCACGTAGAGTTTTCCGGGTTTTCCTCGTATGTTTAACATCTAAACAGGAGCCACTTTTCCCTAGAAAAGTCCTCCCGGTTGGCATATCGCCCATGTGTTGCGTTGCCACAACCCATCAAGCCAATCAATTTTTCTTCATTCTCCATCAAACTAGAATATTTGATTTAGTTTCTTTTTCCTGACAGAAGCATTTTCGTAATCTTTTAAACTAATTTAGAAACTAGACATTTTAATTTATTAACTAAACGCTTTTATTTAACTTACTTTGTATCACGTCCTCAAACCTAGCAACTCAAATTTCATCCACTATAAATTAAAGTATAAAGCTAAAACTTTAAGGACATATCTAAATCGGATGACAATACAATTTAAGTGTTTTGAGGGGTGGCCCTACGCTATCCTTTCCATTTCCAAAACCCGATAAACATAATTAAATGTGAAATTTAATCGT